GACCAATTGCGCTTCTCTCTGCCATCTACAAACTATTAGAGAGGCTTATATATAATAGAATCAGTACAGAACTGTTCCAGGTGATCCCAGTCGAACAAGCGGGTTTTCGACCAGAACGAAGCTGCGCGGACCAGGTCATGTCACTCACCACCTACATCGAAGCGGGTTTTCAAAGAAGACTTAAAACTTCAGCGGCATTTATTGATCTCTCGGCAGCTTACGATACAGTATGGAGAGAGGGCCTTATATACAAAATTCTCCGTGCAATTCCCTGTAAACAAATAGCACGTTTAATGGATAGCATGCTCAACGACCGAATGTTTCAAGTAGTGATGGGTACAGATATCAGCCCACCAAAGAAACTTAAAAATGGCCTACCACAGGGGTCAGTGATCTCTCCATTACTATTTAGCTTATATTTAGCAGATATGCCAGAAACACAATCAAGAAAGTTCGGATACGCCGATGACTGGGCCCTCACTACACAATGCCTAACACTAGAAACATCTGAAGAAGTTCTGACGGCAGACTTATCTATATTGAGCAAATATTTTCGCAAGTGGCGGCTTCAACCAAATGCATCCAAAACAGAAGTAAGTTGCTTTCACCTGAACAATAAACTTGCTGGAAAGGAACTCAACATACGGTTTGAAAATACCACACTTTCCCACAACAAAACACCGAAGTACCTGGGCGTAACACTAGACAGAACGCTATCATTTAAAGAGCATTTAACAAAAACTGCCCAAAAGTTGAGTACAAGAAATAACATTATACAGAAGCTCTGCGGTACCACCTGGGGAGCATCGGCTTCCACTCTCCGCTCTACTGCTTTAGCCCTTGTTTTCTCGACCGCTGAATATTGTGCCCCAGTTTGGCTACACAGTCCACACGTAAAAAAGGTCGACACTCAGCTGCACAGCACTATGAGGATGATATCTGGTACAATTAAATCAACTCCCACCCAATGGCTTCCAGTATTAAGTCACATTCCACCTTCACATTTACGACGAGTTGACGCACTTACACGTGAATACAAAAAGATCATGAACAATATAAACCTGCCGATCCACCAAGATACCGAGGATGCACGAAATACCCGTCTACGTTCTAGAAAACCACCAATGAAAACGGCAAGAATGATACATGAGGAGTTCAACATCACGAATGCATGGTCCCAAGAATGGAATGCATGGCAAAATAACATGCCCTGTATTACCCACAAGCCACCAGGTTTTGATCTTCCTCGTAAAACATGGTCCACTCTAAACAGGATCCGAACCAGACATGGCAGATGTGCATACATGCTACATAAATGGGGAAAGAATCCGTCTCCTCAATGTGACTGTGGAAAGGACCAAACGATCGACCACATTATTGAAGAATGTCCCTCAAGATCTTATAACGGTAGCCCTGAAGATTAACTGTTTGCAACTTCACTTGATGTTTGTTTGTAATTATTTAAAGTTTGTCATATACCTATATTACTAGTGTTTGTAATTTTGTTCTAAATGTGTTGTAATTGCCATACGATAAATAAAATAAATTTTCTAAAAGCTTTACTAGGGTTGGTGAAAGACTAACCGGATGGTATGTTAAGACCTCATTTTGGGATTTGTCAGATTGTGGCAACGTAAGTATTTTAGCAACTTTCGACATGACAGGAAAAAAACCAATTTTATAGCGTTAAAATTATACAGTATTAACCTGTCTCTGTTTTTAGCTAAATTTTTTAGTATTAGGCCCTCGACCAAATTATAACTGGGTATTTTTTATTTGTTTAATTTTGCAATGACTTCTATGACTTTACAAATTTTTATATTTTTGATCGGTGAACTCATCTAATTTGTGGCGTTTTATATATCTAAACTAGGTGTTTTTTTGTAGTCTGTATAAGCTTTTTTCTAATGAGGTTGTAATACAGACATAAGATGTTCCACAAAAGTGCTTGCTTTTGTCTTCATCACTACGAACCCAGCTACCGCTTTTTTATAGGTGTCTTAGATTGTAGTTGGGATTCCAGTTTCCTTGATTATTTCCATTGTGAAAAAATTTTCTCGCATTATTATTAATTTTTCATTAACCCTTAACCCGAAACATTGGTCTAACGGACCACAGCGAAAAGATAGTCTGCTAATGGCGGCAACAGTGTAGGCCGCATGGCGCATGCACTGTCCTTTTAAATACCTTCTTAATAGTGTGGAACAAGCATAGTTGTGCAGTGTCGTATCGATCCTCTTAGTGTTTACGTCGTAGTAACAGTAGTTTTTAAAACGTGTAGGTCTAGTAAGCCAAGTGTTTCGAATTGCAGTGTTTTTATGACAGGTCTAGGAGGCCACCTGTTACGGATTGTGTACTGATAAACAATAAGGTATTTCATATTTTTTGTATAATAAACATAATTACTCTAAAAATTTTACATTTTGTAGTAATAATGGATAGAGCGGGACCTAGCGGAACTGGCCGTAATAAAGAAGTAAATCTGGCTGACCCAGATTTTGAAAAGAATATACAAAGATTACTACTTGCCGACGATCAAGATTTAAATTTATCAGAGCAAGGGAGTGACGAGGATGAATCGATCAAGATCACAAACATTTGGAATTAAATGAACCGTCGAATGATTCACAATCCAGAACCAACTTTTTACAAGTAGAAGGGAAGGGGATGTGAACATATTCAAATGAAAAAAAGGTTTTCAGTGGCAAGAACGGAGCCTCCGAGAAATACAAGGACACGAACACATAGAATTGCGAGAGAATTGCGAGGCCTAACTGCGGTAAGCAGGACTCTGGGGTGGGAAATAGCCCTTCTAAACCAGATATTTGGAAGTTGTTAATTACTGATGAAATGTTGGAACAAATTGTAACATGGACAAATCAAAAAATTATTATGATGGGAGAAGAGTTATTTGATTCGACTAATACATCAAACTACAGAAGCACAAATATAGTTTAGTTGAAGGCTTTGTTTGGGATTTTTATGCTATCTTCAATTATAAAATCTTCTCATGAAGATATGCTTCAACTGTTTTCTAGAGATGTTTTGGGTAGGCCAATATTCAGAATGACGATGTCTTTGAAAAAATTTGAAATACTTTTGTCGTGTCTTAGATTTGACAATAGCATGGATTGCGAAAACGTGGAAAAACACTGACAAAACAGTGGCTATTTCAAATATTTTTAATAATTTTGTGACTAATTGCCAATGGCTATACACGTTATCAGATTGTGTAACTGTGGATGAGATGCTACTTCCATTTATAGGTCACTGTGGTTTTCGAATTTACATAACCAGTAAACCTGCGAAATACGGCATAAAAGTAATGTGCATGACAGATGCTAAGAGCTCGCATTTCTATAATGAATATATATATATATATATATATATATATATATATATATATATATATATATATATATAGAAAAGAAATTTATTCTTTGCAGATAAGTTAAATAGTAAACTCTTAAATATTAGAGAAATCTGCAAGATAACATCTTGCAGATTTAACCAACATTTAAGAGTTTACTATATATATATATATATATATATATATATATATATATATATATATATGTATATATACTCAGGTAAAGATTCGGATGGCGTTGGACTTTCAAAAGAAGAACTAAAGCTTTCCAAGCCTGCTTAATGTGTCATTCGACTATCCAAACCAATAGAGGGCTCTAACCGAAATATTACTTCTGACAACTATGCAATACAGTTAGTCACAGAGTTGCAAAAACGCCACCTCACCTGTATTTCTATACAGTAAAAAAATAAGCAAGAAGGATCTTGAAAATTCCAGGCTAATAAAATTAGGAAAATTGGTACAACACTCTATGGTTTCTCCAATGACATAACTTTGATATCATATGTACCGAAAAAAAAATAGAGCTGTTCTTTTATTTTCCTCTATGCATTACAGTAAAGACAATGAATTAGTAGGTAGCTGTAGTATATTTTTTGTTTTATCTAGAAATATATATGTTTGTTTACTAAATTACGCCTAATAATATTGTTTCCTATATTACACATTTTGTTTTATGTATGTTTTATGTATGAATAAGATTTTTTGCTCATTTATACCTAATAAACCCTTTAATATTTTGCTTTTCTCTTCAAATACTACATTTTTAATTCATGTTGAAATCTCCAATTATTATTACTTCTAAAAAATAAGCAGAGCAAAACACAGATAACTTTTTAAATAGGCCTAGAAAAACTTTAAAATTTCCATTACCGGTTCTATACAGTGTTAATACAATAGTTTTAATATCTATAATTTCGAATGCACAAAATTCACGCTCATATTCACATGATATGCACAATATATTTCAGCAACTGTTTCTGTAGAGATTTTATTATCGCTAAAAACGGCAACACCTCCATGTTCCCTTACCTTCCCACAATAAAAAGTTTAAAAATTAGTATCAAAAAAGGCAAAAAAATACCCATCCATCTTTATTGTTGCTAATTCGTTTTCTCTGAGCCAGTGTTCAGAAAAACATAATAAAATATTGTATCTTTTATTAAAAAAAAAAAAAATTAGCTGATGTATATGCCAATACCTATATATTGTAGCTAATACCATTACTAACGAGACAACAGCATGTTGAACACATATTATTTTCCTTTTAAGAATAACATAACCCGCAGTTAGAAATAAGTACAGAAAGATTAGAATTGACTATTAATCACAGGCTGAGAGTGTCCACACATTTCAAGAGTTTTAGCTCTATAAGTAGAAACACGGCTGATTTCTCCAAAACCTATGCCGACTAACCCCAAACTGAAAATTTCAGTTAGTGTTTATTAAAAAAAAACATAGACAGGTTATATAAAGTACTTATTTGTATTTCGGGAATTTTTGAAAACGATTTCTCGATTGGAAATTTCAAAAACTAATAATAAAATTTTAATTATAGGTAATTGATTGTGGTGTATTCTAATGTAAAATATTTAGAAAACCCATAGTCTACTTGTAAAAGTGTAATTACCTGTATTTCGGGATTAGCTGCTAACGAATAAAGTGCAAAACTTACAGCTGATGCAGTTGTATCATGGCCCTAAAATAAAAATAAAAAACGTGTACTAAGTTTAATACCAAAATAATACCGAATTTAGGGTAAAGAGTTATCGTTCCTATTATATCATTATTATGACGGTAAGGCTGAAGACTGATACACTTTCGGTCTCGAAGTTACCATTGCTTAAGCCGGATTCTCAAGAGTGGCGTATTTGACAAATACACCAACACTAGTGTACTTGGCGAGTAGGCCAATACAATTTTGTCCTTTACAAGTAAACCTTTCACACGGCATGTACGATTAATAACTACGTCAACAACAAATATGCCAGTAAACTATTAATATTGAACATTCCAGTGTGAACCGCGATGGACAGTGGCTATTCTGAAAATATTGTCATAGCTTCTGTAGCTGTTGTTGTAGTGAGTGCATGCTATTTAAAACCGAAAAAGAAAAAAAATGCAAGAAATGAAGGTGATGGATGATTTCTTTAAATAAAAGTCGGGAAAGGTATGTGTATCATTAGATAATTTCCCATTTTAAATTTATTTTATTTTGAAAGACCCACTACTTATATTCGTTTTTGCACATACAGTGCCACTTCATCATCAATTAGCCTATATTTATCCACTGCTGAACGTAGGCCTCCCGTAAAATTTTCCACCTATTTCTATTAAGTATAAGTGCCGCTTACATGTTACAAGATCTACAGCGAGAACTTTCAGTGCAATTCCAGAATTTTTGTAGAATGTCTCCTGTTGATTTTGAGTTTCTGTTATCTAAAATAGGACCTTTAATAGCTAAAACTGATACCAATATGAGAAAGGTCATCCCCATTCAAGAAAGATTTTGTGTAGCACTTAGATATTTTGCCACTGGTGATAGTTTTAAAAGTCTCTCTTACATTTTTAAATTTGCAGCTCAAATAGTTTTCAAATGCATTTTTAATGTGTGTGATTCTTCTTCTTTGAGTACTGTGCCCAAGTTTTAGGCGTGGGTAGCTTTCATGACAATTTGCCGATATCGTTCTCGATCTTGCGCGGAATGTAATAATTCATATGCTGATAAGCCAGTCCATTGACGAAGGTTTCGGAGCCATAAGTATTTCTTTCTGCCAATTCCTCTTCTTCCGTCGATCTTTTCATTGAATATCAACTGCATTATCCTGTATCTGCTTCTCCTCATTATATGCCTTAGATATTCGAGTTTTCCCTTTTTTATTATTTTTATTAAGTTACCTTCACCTTGACCTACTCTGTTCAAGACCTGTTTGAAATATGTTGAACCCATGATATTCTAAGCATTCTACAATATAACTACATCTCATCCATAATTCAGGTTTCACATCCATAAAGTCATACAGGATACACATAACATTTTAGTAACTTAATTCTCAGTTGTAAGTTCAGCTGATAATTGCTCAGAATAGATCCAAGTTTCATAAATGCCTAAATAAATGTGTGTGATGCCTTAGTTAAAATTTATTACGATGAAATAAAAGTAAGTACAAATAATACCTTGTTATCGTTTTTATTCTTTTAAAAAATTATTGCATTAGAGCTTAACGTAATAACTAGGTAACAAAGTAGGCAAAATAGTGTTGGGTTCTTGTTCTGAATTTGCAGCTGTTGATACATTGGTTGCCGGAAATACTGGATAAGGAAAAACTTGGGATTGATACGATTCCGATAAAGAATACATTAATGAAAATTGTGAGGTTCGACGTCAGATCTTAGAAAGCTTGATCTGGAGATGGCTGCGCCACATAATATGATGACGAAGAGCACTGTGAAAGTCGTGAAGGCGGTCGCGTTAGCGAATTTGGAGTGTGTGAAGCTTGGTCTGGATCCTCGACAGTTTTTCTTTTAATGGTCTGTCGCATAGTATGATGGTGATCTGGAGGTGGCTAAAATTGATAGGAGTCAGTAGGTGACGATATACCTGAAGAAGATTGTTGGTTACTAAATGAGATATTGATCAAATTATAGTGATTAACTTAATTTGTGTTGACAGATTACTGCTGAAGAGCGCTGTTAGTAGGATTTACATGGTTTATCATCTGACCCATTTGTGTCATGGTTGCTTTAAATATTAAGTTATTAATTTTCTACATAACTACTACTCGTTAAACAAAATCTAAGGCTTCTAACTTCTCAGTTACCATATGCCCATAAAGTGAGCGGGGACTGCTTTTCGGCTTTTCCCTGTTTACAGCAGTTTTTAGAATAGGGCCTACATCTGTAGCCTTTTTTGTTTTACTTTTTGGTGGTGTTTTAAATAATTTTTCTGAAGAATAATTGTTTGGACCTGGTTGTAGATTTAGGTCTTAATATTTGCTCTATCTTGCATCTTCTGTGGCAATAAGATCTTCTAGCTCCTATAAAACAAAAACTAGTGGATGCTAACTATTGCTTTACTTTTGTAGACATCGAGTGTCAGGGTAAAATTAGCGATGGCGGTGTATTTCGTAACACCGTTTTGTATAAAAAACTCCAAGAAAACACTTTAATGATTCCTGAAGGTGAATGTTTACGCAACTATACAAAAACGTATTTTCCATACGTGTTTATCGTAGATGATGCTTTTGATCTTGGCCGTCATTTATTAAAACCATATGCAGGAGTTTTAGAAAAAGGCAGTGATGAAAGACTTTTTCATTATCGTTTGTCACGTGCCCGGCGTGTTGCTAAAAATGTATTCGAAATACTAGCATCGGTTTTTCGAATTTTCAGAAAACCTATGCTACTTGAACCCGAAAAAGTTTCGAAAGTGACCATGGCATGTATCTTGTTACATAGTTTTTTACGAATAAGCAAAAATTCCTCTTCTTTCTATTCGCCAGGAAGTACTTTCGATAGAGAAAAAGATGTTCAACTCTTTCCAGGCACATGGCGCCAAGATCAGCAAAATAATGTCATCTTTTCTTTTGCTTAATAAAAAACCGAGAAGATATGGACATAAGGAAATAATTTTAAAATTATTTTAAAACTATTGGAAAAGTGCCCTGGCAGGGTAATTACTGTTAAACAATAACATTAATAAAAATAATAAGAATGTATTTTGAAAACTTGCCTCTGTGTTTCGAGTATTTTTGGGTAGACATTCTCCTCCTAAAAATTTAGCCATTTTTTGTAGACAAACCAAGTTGGCTTATAAAAATCTTCTGTGCTTCTTCCTGTGCCCGAAGTACTTTTGACCGTTCCTTGCAGGGGACGAAAAGACATATGATATTCCTTTTTTTTTTGTTCTTGCACGGTACATTTCAAACTTATTTTCTCTTCCATTCTTTTTCATCCATCATTAACCGCATTCCTATTTTTGTGTTTTTCGTATTTAGCGCACCATATAATTGGTTCACTTTCATATAAGTCCAAAAACTCTTTAGCAACTCCGTTTGACTACTCCATTATTACGAATATAATCAAAAATTATTATTTTTGACTGCACATTTTTCCACCGGCTTCTAAATACGAAATGAATAGTAGCAGCGAACTAAAACAACAATTTTTTGATGCGTCTTGTGAATACAAAGACAAATATAGACCAGTTCAGATTTGTCTAGTGTACGCGATACTAGCGATCCCTTTGACTTGTAGAAATTTTACCGACAATCGACGGGAAAACGACCAGCACGCTCCAGTGACAAATAATTGCTCAAGTAAACCATTCACATGACATGACAAGTATAGGCAATTGACAAATACTTGCCAAATATACCAATCGTGAGAATCCGGCTTTTAGACGTTGTAGATAAGTGCGGGGTCGTTCACGGAGGTATATGCAGAAGATACAAATAAAAAACAAAGAAGGAAAAACCACCTTTCACAAACCAACAATTGGTGTCACAGTTTTAAAATATTTGAATATTAAAACAAAAAGTTAAAATGGGACGCTTATAATAAAAAAAGAAAGACTAAATGAAATGATCAACAAACTATAAAACACACTAAAATATATATTATATTCAGGTCTAAATAATTTTCTAACAGGTGTAGAAAGAGCATAAAAAATAAGTAAAAACATATATTAAAATATTTGAAAAATTATATTTATTATAGCTAAATATCCTATAAAAATTTATGTATATATAAATGATATACTACCTAAAGTTACTACCTATATTAAAAACCTTTTTTCATCACTAGGTGAGGAATCTGTAAACAGACGCCGGAGGTAAACATTTGCGACAGTGCATGTAAAAGAAAAACTTATTTAAAATCTCGTCGACAGTCTTGGCCCTGAGTCGGACCTCCCTGCCATTTATACACACACACATACACACGCGAAGCGTTCAACCCAACCCCTAGTGTCATGTGTATACCACTGCTAGTCAGTGGGATCCACATGACCGAAGATCAAACCGGATCGGACCGGTTGACTCGCCGATCAAACCAACCTAGATTGGTGCCCCTCCGTGCAAGGAAATGTGTGTGTTCGGACACTCAGCTGCCGATTTGGCAAAAATTAATTTGTTCTCCTCGCCAGCTGGGTATCCGACCGGTCTGGCCACCGAGCCCATGCTTGCCGCACACGGCCTCGATGCTCAGAAGTCGCGTGCTGGTCTCTCAAATGGACCTGCCTTAAGGGCCTAAGCCAACAAGTTGGCTGTACAAAGAGAGCTGACGGCTCTCTTTGTACCATTATCTTGCGTGTTAATTATGCTGTGATACGAGTCAGTATCACGTATCATATCGCGCCCGGATTATGAAAGTATATTTCATTGTCACTATAATTCACTCGCGTGGCTAGAAGGTTTTTTTTGTCGGATTTTTTTGCTTGTACTAATTAATACTAAAACTTAAGTCTACGTGATTTTTTTGGTGAGTAATTACCGGTGCCCGGAACTATAAAATGCCAGACCTCAGTCCCTACCCTTTTTTTTTTTTTTTCTACTTCTAACCCACGTTGCCTCTGACTAGTCTGTGCCTATCTCTGTCATTATGTTGATTTTATGCTACTGGGACATATCCTGCTATCTGTTGTTTAGGCCGTCTATGTGTCGTCCTAACGTTTTCATCATAGTCTATTAGCTCACGCAG